CTGCCAGGATAAGCTCAAGCTTAAGAACAATTGCCAGGATGGTGCAGGGCCTGGCAGGATTCTGTTGTACTTAAAAGTTGCTGTGTGTTAGAACCGATTTGATTGCACCTACCAACAACACCGAACAAATCTTCAGAGAGTAAGTGGGAAGGTAAAGTTTAGCATACTGAAACTAAGCATTAATTTGAAGTATTCATTGCTGCACAATTGTGGAACAATTTAAATTTAACTTGCTTTTTTTTTTTTTTCTTTTCACTGCCATCTAGTCAATGCCAACTCATAGCGACCCTATGGGACAGCATAGAACTGCCCCTGTGAGTTTCTGAGACTGTGACTTAGAGTAGAAAGCCTCATTTTGCTCCCTGAGAGCAACTGCTGACGTGGTTAGCAGCGCAGTTTGAGCCCTACTTTCACAGCGGTTGCTCACCGCAAGTTTGTGGTTCAAACAACCCCAGCTCCTTGGTGAAGAAAGATGAGGCTGTCTGCTCTCGGAACATTTTCAGTCTTGGAAACCATGTAGAAGGTCACCAGGAAGCAACTTAATGGCAATAGGTTATCTTGTGTCAGTCTTTTTAATTACAGCAATATAATTATGGGTTCAAATTAGAGCAGTCAACTTGTAAATAATAGCAAACATGAAATATTACAGTAAAACTGATTTTATCAAGTTTCTGTCATTGAAACTTGGAACAGGCAAATATTGCAATATAGAGAGTAATTCTACATGTTTAAATTTCAGAAGACTTTGAAGATAATTCATTTGAAGGTAATAGCGCATAATATTTAATTTTTTAAGCTTTTTCTTCATTAGCTCATTAGCACATTGCTGTTCATTAGAATAAATTCAGATGTAATGTGAGAACTTTATCATATTTATTACTTCTGCCCTAAAAATAAAATTCCTTAAGTGATGCAGACAATGTCATCTTGCTTTGCTCTCTTCTCTTACACAGTGTGCTTAAAAAGCTGTCCTGGGTTTGTCTGTCTGTGATGATATTCACTCATGCCTTAAAGACACTCCATAGAAATTGGGATTGGGAATCTGAGTATACGTTGTTTATGTCAGCCTTGAAGGTAAAGTATTTTTTAGAACAACAAGTATGTTATCACTGACTTTTTTTATATCTATAATTAAGTTATTTTTACTGTTATGTACTTAACTATTATGTCGCCAAAAGATAAGTGGAACTAATTTGTTCTTTGTATTATATGTGTGATGACCAAATATGTGCATAGTAACCTTAGCTGTATGTCCAAAGCATACGGATATGAGTAATTCTCTAGATATTCTATGGTGTTAGAAATCCCAAATAACAAACCATTTTAAATCAGAACCATTCATTCTTAAGAATACTATATTTCATTGGTTCATAGGCCCACACTTTTTTCCAGCTTTTAACATCTCTACTAAGTGAATAAGTCTTACTGAAAGTCAGTCTACAACTAACTAGTGTCCTTTTTTTTTTCTTAATGGTATAAAATAAAATCAGTCCTGATTTTTTGTTTTACTGTGATTTGACTGAACATGTACAGAAAAAGCTGGTTTTCTGTACATTGGTTTCTGTACACAATCTGAGTTGTAACATTTATCGCAGGCTTCATAAAATAATGGCATTCTTTCCGTTTCCTCCTATGTTTATTGTTTCATTTCTCCTTCTTTCCTGTCCCTTTCTATCTGGGAACTATTCCTGAGAAAATATTGCACTTTTGGTCACATATCGGTTGTTCTATAAGGCTTGTATTCCTCGTTGGTGTTACTGTTCACCTTATAGATGTATCTGTCATTCAGATGCAAATGGAACTGGAGGCGTGAATAATATTAAATTTTATAACTTAGGTGTTTTAGATTCAGTAAAATACAACAAACCTTCCCCTTGCAATGGGGAAGGTTACCTTAGTATAGAAAGGTTAAGGACTAGCATTTAGGAATGGAGTAGTGTTTGTGGAAAGTTGGTGACATAAATAGTAAGGTTCTTTTTAATTATACATTTGTTTTTTTAATTTTGTCAGCAAAGATTTTCTAAATATCTCCATTACTAATGCACCTCTTTAAATCTCTAGATTCTAATTTCTTATGTAACTTAGCTCTGTACTCTTCATTGCCTAGTTTTATTGGATTGGTACCTTATTCCAAGGAGCCCTTATGGCGTAGTAGGCTATGCATTGGGCTGCTAACCACAAGGTCAGCAGTTCTAAAACACCAACCTCTCTTCGTGGGAAAGATGAGGCTTTCTACTCTGGGAAAGATGAGGCTTTCTACTCTTGAAAAGAGTTAGAGTCCTGGAAACCCATGAAGGCAGTTCTATCCTGTCCTGTAGGGTCACTGAGTCAGAATCAACTCAATGGTAGTGAGTGAGTGAGTGAGTGAATACTTGTTCCAATTGTTTACATCATTTTGTGATATAATATCTACTTAAATGAATTGACTCTCTTGTACCAGTCTGTAACCTGACCCTCTTCTCTAGGTCAGACTTGTACAAAGAGGACCTCATTATGTACTTATTAATCCAAGTTCCTGGAGTGCCTTTTTGCAGCCCTATCATTTACAGGACTTCTGTTTTGTCTTCACGTCCGAAACCATGGTCGGGACCCAGCGCTAGTCCCGCCAGAGTTTCATCCTCCTCAGGAAGGAACACCGTGCCCTCGCGTGAATGCTCAATCACAGATTGTCTCAGGGCTTTAATCGCAGGGTTCATATTACCACAATAGACAACTCGAGTAACTTTATCGCAGCCCTAAAGATAACGTCACTGCCCTATTCAAACATGCTTTTTATTGACTGGTGCCTTCTTTCTGCAGAGTAGGACTAGTAGAGGAAGAGTTTTAAAACGACACTATATTTTTACCAAATTAAAAAGGTAGTAAAATTCTAATAGATGAAATAGACCTGTGCGCATAGTGGAAGTTGCCTTGGGTGAGGTGGGTTTGCTGTCATAGACGGGAGAACAAGTCTGACGAGACAGTCTGCATTTGACTTCTTCATGCCGAGGGCCCTCGCTGCGGAGTGCCTGAATTCTTACAGTAAGACAAGCAATATCTGTGTGAAGTCATAATGTTTTGTTTTAATGTAACTTATTTTTATCTATACTTGTTTAAGGTAAATAAAAATAATGCAAAATTGTGGAATAATGTGGGCCATGCCCTGGAAAATGAAAAGAACTTTGAGAGAGCTTTAAAATACTTTGTACAAGCAACACGTGTTCAGCCAGGTAAGCATTATGAACTATTAAAACTTTGGGATAGTTTACTGGCTTAAAAATCCTGGTTTAAATAGTTTGCTTTCAAGTTTTATTCCAAATGATTTGAATAGGTAGATGTTCACTTAAATTTTGGAAGTTCATTATCTGCTAAGACCCACTCATATAGGATATATCAGGAAAATTTTAAACACAATAAAGTTGTTGGTTGACACTGGTGAGCAATTTGGATTCAGTGATGTCTGCAAAAGCTTCACAGACGTGAGCCTAGAATGGAAGAAGGATAATTTGACACAATATAGGAAACTTAAAAGATAGTCATAAAAGATGACCGGAGCAGTGAGTGTGGTCTTGAGGGGTTTGGGTACGTTGTTAAGGTGAGAGAAAGCACACATGGACTAGTGAGAGTGATAAAGTCAGGAAAATGTCATAATGGAGAGGGTGTCAAGTTACCACATCAGAGAGCTTCGAGTAAATGAGAGCATTTGGTGAATATGGTGAGCACTTCGTTTGATAATAGAATTGATGCCGAGTTATACCCACAAACCTAGATAACCATGCGATAACCATGTGAACATAGGTAAAAGCTGGTGAGTTCCTGACATGGAATACAGTAAGCTTCTGGAAGTTACCAGTTTGTTTCTAGCTTTTTGTTTGCTATTTTTTTATTTTCTGGAAAAGGTGAAACAAAGTCATCTGTAGAAAATGAGGCAGGATAAGAAAGTGTTGGAGTTCGCTCTCTAACAATAAAAGAATTCTTGTTAGATTCTGTTGAGTCAGTTCCAACTCCACAGCATTTTGCATGACAGAAGGAAGCACTGCCAGGGCTGTCCTCACAGTCCTTGACTGTGGTTTGAGCCTTCGTTCTAGCCACTTTTTCTCAGTGCACTTCATTTTGAATCTTCCTCTTTCACTGATGCTGTTTGATCAAGCATGTTGTCTTGCTCGAAGAACTTGAGGTAAAATCAAAGTACTTGATAGGAGACAAACTCTCACCAACCTCACAGGAAGCACTATAGCTGGCTGTACATCTTCCAGGATCAGTTTCTTTCTTCTACCGGTCTATGATATACTGTATATACTCATATATAAGCTGAGTTTTTCAGCACATTTTCAATGCAGTTTTTATGGTAAAAATTAGGTGCTTGAAACAATGGGTGTGTATGTATGGATTGTGAAAAGAGTTGTATGAGCCCGCAATAAAATGATTTAAAAAAAAAAATTAGTTGCCGTGGCTGATAGTCAGGTCAGTTTATACTCGAGTATATATGGTATTCAGTATTCTTCCCCAACACCATAGTTCATTGCCCAGTTTTTGTATGCGTATAAGATGGTTGCTATTAAGTGCCTTGGATCAGTTGCATCCTAGTCCTCAAAGTGACATAGTTGCTTTGTAAGGAGGTTTTTCTCTGTAGGTTGCTCAGTGCAACATATTTGATTTCTTTAATGCTGCTTCCATGGCCCTTAATTGTGCATCCACATAAAATTAAATTATGGATAACTTCAGTGTTTTCTCATTTATCATGTTGTGAGGATTTTTTTTACATTGAGTTGTAGTCTGTACTGAAGTCTGTAGTCTTTGCTCTTCAACAGTAAAGTGCTTGAAATCCTCTTCACTTGGAGCAAGCAAGTCTGAGTCATCCACATGTTGTAGGTTATTTGCGAAGCTTTCTCCAGTCCTCATGTTGAGTTGTTCTTCAGATGGTACAGTTTATTAACTGAATCACTCAGCGTACTATTTCAATAAGAATGAAAGGATACAATCTTGTTGCACATCTTTCCTGACTTTAAACCGTACTCCGGCCTCAAATCAAACTCACTGCCATCGGTTAATGCTGACTCACAGCAACCCTGTATGACAGGGTAGATGGTCCCCGTGAGTTTCCGAGACAGTAATTCTATGGGAGTAAAACTACATCTTTCTCTTTGGGAGAGGCTGGTGGTTTCAAACTGCTGACCTTGTAGTTAACAGCCCAACACGTTACCTTTATACCTCCAGGGCTCCCCTTAAATTGTATAGTAGCCCCTTCTTTCTATTTGACCACTTATTGGTCTCTGTATGGTTTCCACAGGAGCAAACTAGAGTGTTTTTTAATTCTCTTCCTTCAAAATTTGAAGTATATTCATTATGATCCCCACAATTAAATGCCCTTCTGGTATCCTTTACTTTCTGCCAAGATCTCTCTGGCATTGGCAGTGACATCCCTCAGAATTCAACTTGAATTTCTGGCAGTTCCCTTTCAGTGTAATGCTGCAACCATTTTAAAATTATGATTAGCAAAAGTTTATTTAAATGTGATATTAACGATATTGCTCAATTTCCACATTCTGTTGAGTCACCAAGGAGTCCTGGGGATGTAATGGCTTATGAGTTTAGCTACTAATCTCTAGGTCAGCAGTTCAAAACCAACAGCCTCTCCACAGGAGAAAAATAAGGCTTTGTACTTCCTTATTAGGATTACAGTCTCAGAAACTGAGGGGCAGTTCTACTCTGGTGTAAAGGGTCATTGTGAGTCAGAATGGACTGGATGGCAGTGAGTTTGGCTTTGAGTGGGGTCACCTTTCTTTGGAATCGGCACAAACATGGATCTGTTCCAGTCAGTTGGCCAGGTGTCAATCTTTGGGATTTCTGGGCATCGAGGAGGAGAAGCAAGTATAAAGGAAAAGAGAAGTGTGAAATTTCTAGACCAGTGTTTCACAAATTTTAATGTGCATATATAAAACCTAGAAATCATTTTATTCTGATATAGGATAGCGTCTGAGATTCTACATTTCTAATAAGCTTTATGGTGTGCTTATGATTCTAGTTCACAGATCATACTTGGAAAATCAGAGATCTAGGCACTATAAAGGCATAGGAACATACTGTAAAGTTATTGGGCAGCACTACTGTTTTACTGGACATTTGCAGTGCCAGCTACAGTAGAGGTGGTTTGACTTAGGTTGACCCCATGTGTGTCAGAATAGAATGTGCTGACTATTTTCAGAAGTAGGTCACCAAGTCGTTTTTCTGAGGCATCTATCTATTGGTGGACAAGCACAGCTAACCTTTCAGTTAGCAACATGAACATTAATTATTTGTGTCACTCAGGAACTCCTTCTGGAGTCTTTGTGCTGGTGGTGTGTGCTGTGAGTTGATTACAGTTCACTTGTCAGAAATAGTTAAAGTGAGACCAATTGTCATGATTGTATGTTTTCTTTCTGCTGCTTTTGAGTAGTGAGCATTGAGAATTTTATTAACAAGATTAGGATTTTGTTCTCATCATCATTGTGCTGATTCCAACACATAGCACTCATATAGGTCAGAGTGGAATTACCCCTGTGGGTTCCTGAGAGTATAACTCTTATGGGAGTAAAAAGTCTTCTCTTTCTCCCATGCAAGGCCTGCTGTTTTCAAACTATTGACCTTAAGGTTAGCAGCCCAAGACATAAGCCACTAATCCACCAGTGCTCCTTATTAGATAGGTACTTTACAGTAAGGGAGAGAATAAGACTGATTATGATGAGACAGAATATAAGCGGGGTAAGAAGGGATGTCAGGGAGTGTGAATGGTGGAGGAAAGAAAGGCAACTAGGATCAATAAGTCTGAAGAATTGTTGGTGTCTTGAGTAGTATCTGTATTGTAGCACTGTTGGGGTATACAGAAACGTGTTGGAGGATAGCAACCAAATGCCATAATTGCTTTCACCTCAGAATGTCAAGCAGAAACATGCATTTCTATACCCTTTTTGGAATTAGGAAAACAAACCCAGACTTTTCTAGTAGGTATCACCATGGCTATTGAACTAAGTAGTTACGGTAGAAAGGAAGGGACAAATCATTAGAAAAAGGACATCAAGACCGAGGAAGATTCAGATGTTGAAGTTACTGAGAATGGTGTTCAAAAGTGTCAGGGAGCTATAGCTAGGAGACTTCAATGATGGAAGGTAGTTGGTGGTAATTTAATGATTTGAGATTCACAGCTGAATGATTATAGGTACGAGAGCTACGAAGATTGTTTAGAAGAGAGGGCATGTTAGCTAGGTTGTGAAAGATTGCCAGGATTGTGGTAGAGGATAGATGGCAAAGAGAGGATAGAGGAAGATAAGCAAAAATCAGAAAATACCGGGGTGGTGGAGTGGGGGGATTGAACTACTTGAGGGGCTATGGAATTAAAATTATAAGGCTAGGCTGTTGATTATATTTCTATAACTTTTTCTTCACCTTTTCTTTTTCTTTCTTATTGAAAGAGCAATATTTTTCCCAGTTTATCATTTCTCCACTGAATTATCTTGGTACGTTGATGAAAAATTCATCTATCTTACATGGTTCTAGTTCTGAACTCCTTCTGCCCTTTTGATCTGTTTGTTTCTCTTAGACAATCAAAGTGCATTTTCTTGATTACCATAGTTTTGTGAAAAGTCTTACGTTTAAATAGTATGACACTTCAACATTACTCTTTTTTAAAATGATATATTCTTGACTCTTCCTATTCCCATATAACTTTTAAAAATCAGTTTACAAACATCTAATAAATTATTTTGCAATTTTTTAATTGGGATTACATTGAATATAGAGATATTTGGGACAAATGGATTTCCCAACAATTTTGAGTCTTCTGATCCTTGAGAGTGATAGGTCTTCTGTCTTAAGTATTCTTTCATTTCTCTTAGCTGTGTTTTATAGTTTCAATGTGTGGATCTTACACATTGGTTTTTTTTTGTTTTTTTTTAGATTTATATCTAATATTTTCTTTTGGTATTATTAACTGTATATTTTTTCAATTTTCAAATGCTTATCTTTTGCTGTCTCATAATTACAATTTTTAAAAATATTAATCTTGTGTTCAGCAGTAGTGTGAGGTGCAATAATTAGTAGTTTTTTTGTCCTACATCCCTAAAATTTTTCCTGGTAAATATAAGTTTTCCTTCTCCCTTTCCTACATGGATTCTTTTTTACTTTTCTTATATTCTTCCATTGTTATGCTCCTGTCTACAGTGTTGAATCGAAGTGATTGGCCTGTTATCTAAAGAGGAAAATATTCACTTTTTCACCCAATATTTAGCTTTTTACTCTTCAGTCTTTTATAGGAGTGCTGATACCTGTAGATTTTGGGGGTTTTGCCCTTTATGAAGTTAAGGCATTCCTTTATATTCTTAGTTTACAGAGAGAGAATTTTTATCACAAGTGGATGCTGGATTTTGTCAAATGCTTTTTCTATATCAGTGGATATATATAATGATTTTTATATTATAGTTTATTAATATAGTTGATTACACTGATTTTATAATCTTAAACTAACCTACTTTCCTTGAATAAAGCCCACTTAATATTGACATATTATACTTACTATATTGTTGGATTTTATTTGGTAAACTTCTGCTAGTAAATTTTTGTCTAATTTTGGTATCAGCTAATGCTGACAGCATAGAATCACTTGATAAGTACCATATATACTCTTGGATAAGCCGAGTTTTTCAGCACATTTTTTAATGTAGTTTCGGTGGTAAAATTAGGTGGCTCGGCTGATGTTTGGCTCGGCTTATACTTGAGTATATATGGTATCCCCTCATCTTTCAGTTTTAGAAGAATTTGTAGAATTTTGATACTTTCTATCTTAAATATCTGTTAGAATTTATTTGATCTTTCTTATGAATTGTCTGATAAATCATTAACCTTATCCAGTGTATTTTTTATTCCAGTTAATTGTTTGCATCACAAGACGTTTTGAATTTTTTCAGGTGGCAGCTTACATCAAGAATTGGGTGGAAGAGATGGGGGAAAAATGAAACTTAAAAGTATAACTCGTAGGTTCATGCCCTGAAAAACTAGGTGAATGGGAATGCTCCTTATTTGTTTCATCCCTTTTTATGTAGCGGAGTGTGAGAGAGGAGAATCTTAGAGTCCTGATTTGTGTCCAGTAGATTTATGAAGCAGGGAGGTTCCAAAAGTTTTGCAAACGGAGATAAAAGATTAATGGAATTTTTTCCTGACCATGTTGAAGCTCCCATTACAGATGAGATTTGTAACTTTTGTGATAATGAAAGTAAAGCTCATTCAGTTTAATAGAGAAAGGATACTGTGCCAGTACATTTGTGTAATGTGTACACACACACACACACAAATAGTCATACAGATAGGCTTATAGATTTGGCCATGAAAAAATAAACAAATTTTCTTCAGATTTTTTATTTCCCTGGTGAAATAAGAAGATAATAGAAACTTGAGGCCAGAGAAGGAATGATTGTATAGTTTGTTTTGATTTTGATTGATTGTTTTCATAGTTTATTTTGTACCATGTTGTTAGTTGCCTTGTAACTGATTCTCACCAAAACCCATGGTGAGTCCCATACAGTAGAATTCCAGAGTAGAAGCACTCCAAACTCAAGGCTGTAACTTTCCAGAAGCAACTCTCCAGGTCCCTATTTTCCTAGGCTCCTCTGAGGGTGTTTGAACTATGCACTTTCGGGCTAGTAGTCAGTACTTAACCGTTTCTGCCATCCAGGAGCTCAGTGGAAAGGAATTAAATAAATAGGGTTTAGAAGTGATCTGATTATAGAAATATAGTAGTATTGACAGATTAGGGGTCTAGTTGAGGTATGTAGGGTCTTCAGTTACATTGAATTAAAAGGCACACTACTGGATGCATACTGGTATTGGTTTAGATAGTGTAATCCTAAGACAAATTTACTCTTTGAAATTTTTTTAAATTGAAGTTGTTATATTACCTGTTTTTCTTACATTCCCCCAAGTGTAAATTTATCTTAGAAGTAATCTTTTCTTACCCCCTCTGAAGTTATTAGACTTTATAACTTATAAATCACTTATACAGTTTTATTTTAGTTCCTGTATTAGCATAACCCACTGGATAGACAAGGTTATCTGATTACTATTTTTTTATTTGAGAAAATAATATTGCCTTTTTATAGTATCTAAAGGCTACACTTCTAACTACATGTGGGCTTCAAAAAGTTTATAGAAAGGAAGCAAAAAAAATTTAAATCTGTCCATGAACTTTTTGAAGTCCCTGTGTATTTCCTTGCCATCCATTCTAAGAATCTGACTGCGATGGGTGGTGATTTGTTCCGCTTTTATTTTAATCAAGGAGAGGAACTTTTTTTCTCCCAAGTGCCACTTGGCTATTTGTAACATCATTTTCAGGCCATACTTGCCTAACATTTAATTAACTCACTCCCATGTGATGGCTGGAACTACTTCTCTTTGGGAGGTGTGTGATGTTAGCTGTATTGATGATTTCGCAAGCTTTGTACAGCCCCTGAGCAGGACGACCCCTACCTCTAAATTCATCTCTGATCTAAGTAGAGAACCTCTTTTTGCTGTATGATTCATTAGGACTAATTCTCATTAACGTTTTAAATTCTCAGTTGATTTGATTATATATTTTTAATCAGGCATTGCTTTTCCCTTACATTTTTATTGTATAGAAATCAGGGTACTATTTGAGATTTGAGATTTTCACATTCTGTATATCTCTACATCTCCAACAAGTGGTATAAATTTAGCAAATACAAAAACAAAATAAAATTGAACTATATGGATACAACCTGTGAATGCTGTATTTTTATATTCACTATATTCCCCAGAATTTCTGAGACTATAAATCTTTACAGGCTCAAAAAAAAAAAAAGCCTCATCTTTCTCTTTCGAAACATCTTGATGCGTGAGCCCATTACATCACCATGACTAGGATGTCTGCAGTTTTAAGTCTAAGACTTGCTAGTTTAGTCTAAGCTTCTTTGAGGGCTATCTCGTCCCTACTTCATAAGACTCAGCAGTACATGTCAAAATAAAGAAGTCATTTCTCCTACCCTCCCCAACCTTGTCACATAGTTTTCTAAACAAACCTCAACGGCATCTTGACAATTTTTGTGCAGTGCACACAATTGCCAACCTTAAACGTAATATAGCAAGATCTTAGGACTGTTACTCTCCTCCTAGGGGAATGCCCAAAATATATATGCTTGGCCCCTATGTGTCCTGGGAGTTGCAGGCAGACAACTATTCCACAATTGCAAAATCATCGGTGTCACAGGCAAGTAGTAATCACAATTTGAAACCCTGTCATGTCTGTAGAGATTTATGTTGAGTAAAACCTGTCTGATTTAAGGATTCCCTTCTGTCTTTATATCAAGCCTTCAAAACATTTACTGGGAGTTATGTCTTTTTAAGAACTAGTGTTCAATGAACCCTTCTATTCAAAGTGTTCATTCCTAACTGCTGAGTAAATTTTCAGGGAATTCTGTTTTCCACATCATAAATGAGACAAAATCTCTTAAGTTCTAATACTAATACAACCTTTCAAATTGCTTAAATAAACTATATAGGAACTTACCATAATATAAAATGATATTGATCCTAATATTTCATTCAATATATTCTCGTTCCAAACACATTGACAGTTTTTTTTCTTTCTCTGTTTCCCTTACTCATGGCAGTTTTTCCTAGTGTCTCCACCACCGCCACACTATTGGTGCTTATATGCTAGTCATAACACTTGAAGTAATTATAAGACCCCAAATTGTCCTTGCCCTTGTAGAGTTGGACCATGCTTTTTGAGTGAATTCTAAAAGCCTGATGTTAAGGAAATGGAAGCAAGTCTTAGTATAAAGTTAAGAGAAGTGATGTAAATTTTTAATTACCTCTCTTTCCCCCATCTTCACATGTTTTCATCTTCCAAGGATCCATTCAGATAGATTTATTTGGTTTAGTTTTTTGTTTTTGTTTTTTTTGGGGGGAGGGTTGTTCCTGTTTTTCTAATGTCACATATTTGTTTCCATCCCTAGATTGCTTTATTTAAATAATTTGTTTAGTTTTTTTAATCATATTTATAACAAGTTGAGAAGAGGGATTTTCATGAAGAAATGGGACCTATTCCACCATCTTTTGCATTTTTTTGTCTAGGGTATCTGTTTCTAAAAATCTGTTCCTCAGTAGTGTACATTGAATACTATTTAATATATTTATCAACAAATGATTTTGTTTCAATTGTAGATGATATTGGTGCCCACATGAATGTAGGAAGAACTTACAAAAATCTAAATAAGACCAAAGAAGCTGAAGAGTCTTATATGATGGCTAAGTCACTGATGCCTCAAGTAAGTTGTCGTTTTTGTACCTATTATGCCCTGCCTATTCGATGTCAGTACTGAATAAAACCATGTGGATGGAAATTTTCCCTATGTTTTCCATTTCTTGTTGCAAAAGTAACACTAGAAAGGTTTACCCAAGAATGATGTTCAGAAATGATTAGGAAAGAAGGAAGCATGGGAATGAGAAATATAAGAATATGAGTGACGATAGCTTGTGGTGATAAGTCAATGACGTGAAACTAATATGTGAATTGTTGAATGGAAACTGATTCGTTCTGTAACTCTTCATCCATTTTACAATAAAATGTTCTTTTTAAATATGTAAGGCACCTATTTCTAAATGTCTTATAAAAATTTACATTTAAAGCTCATTTAAGAAAATAATAAAATTTGTTTTATGGCTTATTTGAAAATTATTCAGTATAAAATTAAATCTTATTACAAATTATAAGTCAAACTATTTTGATTGAAGAGAAATTTATTTAAGCAATAAATTAAATATTCCTGTAAAATAAAGTACATCTCTTGCTATATTTGTTTTCAGTTAAATAATGGCACAAGTAATACAAGAGGCATTGGATAACCATACAAAAACGTAGGAAAATCCAACTCTTCCCTTGATAAGTCTTCAGAAAAAATTGTTTACCATGGGCTGCAGTGTTCTTCATTGTAGTGATAATAAGATTGTTGCAGATGCAGTGAGGTTAAATTTTAATACCCTATCATTTGATCTCCTTTATAGTCCATTTAAATTTGTTCTAGTTTTTAATGTTTTCTGATTTCTTTTTTTAAAAAGTTTTATCTGTTTTACTTTCTTGTTTCTTGTCAGTTTCTGTTTGTTTGTTTCTAACGGTTCTTTTGTATATGAAACTCATGATAGCTAAATGTAGGACATAGGCTCTGAATAATTGTACCTTGGGGCTGTGGTAATGAAGATGAGTGGGAAATGGGCATCTAATAATGTGAAGTACAAGGATAAAGAAATATTCTAAAACTAATGGTACTGGAGATTTTACAGCTCTTCTTGATGTGATTGAATGAATAAATTGTATGGCATATGAATTATATGCCAATAGAACTTTGGGGGTGTGGGGTGGCGGGAATGCCAAATAAAGAATTGAAAGGGGGAAAAAGCTAGCAATAATTATATAATAATTAAATCGTTTGAATGCATTTTTTTTAAGTTGGAACACAATAATCTTAGGGATTTGTCACGCTTTCTTAGTTGCACTATAATAAGTATCATGTTTGGGTAAAATTATGTTCTCGCAGTTTCAGAAACTAAGGTCTAAATTCAGTGTTGTCTTTAGGAAGGTTTTCTCTCCTTGTGGCTCTAGAGGAGCAATTGTCTCTCAGCTGCTCTTCTTGCTTCCTACATAATTGTCAGGTAGCATCAGTTCTTCCGGATTTATGCTCCCTTGCTTCTATGCCTCGTTTGTTCTTCAATCTCAAAAGTGATTTTTAAGACACACTGTAATGAAATAGCCTCCTTAACATAATAAATAAGACCCTAATCTCAGATAGAACTTTAGCCACAATACCAAAATCCAAACCCATTGCCGTCTAGTCAGTGCCGGCTCATTGTGACCCTATGAGACAGCACAGAGCTGCAGCTACAGTTTCCAAAACTATGACTCTAACTGGAGTAGCAAACCTTGTCTTTCTCCTGCGGAACGGCTGGTGGTTTCAAGTACAGCCCCCTCGTAACCAGTACATACCGGGCATCCTAGCCACAATTGGGGCACACGATTTAGTTCCTAACAGGATTATTTTAATACCAGTGCTCTATAGTTAAATTGTGCTTGATAAAGGTTCTTATCAGATACAATTTCTTATTATCATTGAATTTTAATCCCTATATATTTTGTACTTTGCCTGAATAATGAATTGTGTGAGCATTCCACCACTTGTATGTCAGTTGTCCCCATTCTGGTGGCTTGTGTGTTCCTGGGGTGCTGAAAGCTGGGTCATTTGGTATTTAAAATGCCAGGGTGAATAGCTTTCAGTGGAGCTTCCAGACAAAGGGCGGACTGTCCATTTCTGAACGATTCCCTACTCAAAACCTCATGCGTGCCGAGCAGCAGAGTGTCGCCAGATACAGTGCTGGAAGGGGAACTCCTCAGCTTGGAAGGCACCCAAAATACGGCTGCAGTAGAGCTGCCCTCTTAAAGTAGACATGATCATGTGGATGGAATAAAGCTGTCAGATCTTCATTTGCCCATGAAGCATAACAAAATCAGAATAAACTGTTAAAAGTGTCTGTGAATAATCAGACTGTGGAATGTACAAAGTAGGAATTCAGGAAAATTAGAAGTTGTCAAAAATTAAATAGAACATATAAAGATTGACGTCCTAGGCCTTAGTAAGTTAACATGGACTCATGTTGGCCATTTTGGCAAAAACAACAAAAAAACCTGTCTTGGAAGCACAGCCAGAATGCTTCTTAAGAGTGAGGTCTGGAGAAACTCTGTCTCATGCACTTTAAACATGTGACATGATCATCAGACACTGCTCCCTGGAAGGAACATCATGCTTGGTAAAGCCAGACATAGACTCTTGAGGTAGGTGGACACAGTGGATGCCAACGTACCGATTATGAGGCTGGACAGGCAATATGTCATTCTCTAGTACATGGGTCACCGTGAGTTGAACTGACACGATAGCACCCAACAACAGATCATGTTATCTTTCAATCTCACCAGAAAGGTGTGAATTTTAGTAAAGTTGTGAAATAGATTGAAGTATCATCAAAACCACAAGTCCTGGTAGTTCCGGGTTTAAGTGTTTGGCTGCTAACCTAAAGGTTGATGGTTCAACTCACTTTGTGGCTTTGCAGGAGAAAGACCTAATTAATGATCTATTTCGGTGAAGATGATAGCTAAAATAGTCCTGTTGTGCTCTTTCGCTCTGTCACTTGAGGTTACTGTGAGTCAAACAACTCAACAGTACCCAGGAGCCAACACCATTGTTACAACCAGGAAATATTTCACCACCAAAACAAAGTTAGCCTAGTCTAAAGTAGACACTGATAAAATGATAGATTTGGGTTCTATGCCTGGTTTTTCACCAATTTGCCAAGAGAGTGGCCTGTGAAATTTCTGATTCAAAGAGTTTGATTTTAAATAATAGGTATTAATAAAAAGTTAATACTAGTTTACTCTGCTGTCACCACTGAGAAAGTGTACTTTTTAGTGCTACAAAATATTATTTTATGTATATTTTGTGAGTACTGCATTTGCTTTTGTGTTTTTTGTTTTAATGCAATAATATAAGAAGACAAGGAATCACTGGTTGGCATGAGATTTTAATGCTTACATACCAACGGGAAACGTTTGACAAATTGCCTCCCAGAGGCACTTAAGCTGAAAACCTGGTTGATGTACTTCTGAAAAGTCACAGCTGTTGAAAACCCTCTGCGTAGTTCTACAGCGAAGCACATGGTGTTGCCAGGAGCTGGGACCAATGTGACAGCAATGAGTTTGGGTTATAAAGTGAATAAATTATCTTATTTTCTGCATATGTTTTAAGTAAGCCACTAGGAATTCTTATGGGACATTTCACTTTTCTTTGGACTGAAATCTAAATTATGAAAAAATAAATTTTTTTCTAAACAGATTATTCCTGGTAAAAAATATGCAGCCAGAATTGCCCCCAACCACCTTAACGTTTATATCAATCTGGCTAACCTGATCCGAGCGAACGAGTCCCGGCTGGAAGAAGCAGATCAGCTGTACCGACAAGCAATAAGCATGAGGCCCGATTTCAAGCAGGCTTACATTAGCAGGTATTCTAGTTCACTGTAGAGAAGATTGAAGCTGCGTCTGCCTGCCCATGTTGACTAAATTAGCAGGCACTTTCTTTTCGTAAGTTTGTGTGGTAGCTAAGAGCATAGAAGGCATGGCCTGTTGTGGCTGGCAATGGTGGGAAATTGACAAGGGAGTTCCTAAATTACTATAGCAAATTTGGGTTTTGTATGAAAGAAAAAGTAGAAGTTCCTTCTGCCTGATGTCTGTTCATCACCTGTGTAAAACACCTAAGATGTGTAGCACATAATAGTTAACTTCGATTATCTAATTCTCAGAAATGTTCTTCAATAGATATTGAGTTGGACTGATTAATGATGCTTGAACCACCAAAACAAAAAGCCGTTATCAGTAAAATATTGACATCACATAAAAACTTAATAATTAAACAATTATTTGTTAATCTCTGCCACCACCCTTCCCCACCCCACCCCCCACACACAGAGTTACAATTTGGATTGATACTACTAGAAGTTTCTTTGCTAAGAATTTATCATAGTTGTTCATTTGGTTTTATTACTGTAGTGATATTGTAGAAAAGTAGTATTGTAAGTAATTCTTATTTTAGCTCTACCCATATGTGATTTGTATATTTATATGTACTTCTAAAGAAAATGATTTTTTATGATTTTTAACATAAAATAGAATCATGATGGACATATTTGTACAAAGATTTTCAAACTATGATTCTTATTTTCAGATAGTTCCTAAAAAGTACCTGCAGGTGACACTCACAACCTCACACCCTGCCAGATCAACTTTTTAAACATTTATTTTTGATAGGTAGTCTTTTTTCAAAGCTATATTGAAGAAATCTAATTTTAAAAGGAGTTACAAATTTCAAGTGCTTTACTTTTTGCACAGTGAAGCTTATAATTTAGATTTTCCCACCACTACTGTTTTTCTTCCGCAAATACTATTACTGAATTTTCAGACAAATTCCTCGATCTTCCTATTCTATATAATAGCTACTATTTTTCTGATTAAGTCTACCCTACTCCTTTTAGGATATACACACAGAATATATTTTCTCTGTACTCATTCCCTCAAAATCTCCCCAAATTGTACCCCTATATATTAATTTTTAATAACAAAATATGATTAAATCTTTTTAATAATTTTTTAAACCAGATTTGCTGAACTTAGGTGAAACAATCACAGAGAATGATGTTTTAACAAGATTATTAAGAGCCTAAGTAAAAGGGAAACAGCTGTAAATAAAGGCTTAAACCTTAGTCAAAAAGATACCTACAAATGGACTTGTTAATGTTGCAAGTAAAGCTTGTGTTTGATTTTTTTATTTTCTACAGAGGAGAACTGCTTTTAAAAATGAATAAACCTCTGAATGCAAAGGAAGCATATCTAAAAGCACTAGAGCTGGACAGAAATAATGCAGATCTTTGGTACAACTTGGCAATTGTTCATATTGAACTTAAAGAACCAAATGAAGCTCTGAAAAACTTTAACCGTGCTTTAGAACTAAATCCGAAGCATAAGCTGGCACTGTTTAATTCTGCTATATTAATGCAAGAATCAGGTATGTGTTCACAAATATTTTTATATTTAAACAAATTGTAGTTTGGAAGTAGGAAGGCTTTAACTTAAACTCCATTCTGCATAGCAAATATTTTATGAATGGATAATTTATATCAAGAGTATGCATAAGGAATTTATGGGAAACATGTTTAAAATACTTAAAATAAATTATTTTGACATACCATTCATTAACATACAAGCAATTACTGTTGTTCTCATATGGACCACTACTAGTATTTAATTTAATATCTGTGCTATCATTCTATGTATATACATATAGTAATAAAACCGCCTTTATGAAAATATACTACCCAAGTAATTTGAAATTGTTTCTGTAGTTAGCTCTACAGAGCCAGAAGCATCTGGATATTTGACCCATACTTTAGATGGAAATTTTATTTCTCTCCAAAGACAGTGTACATTGGTACAGATAAGAACTCTCGACACACAGAATCCAGGACAGATAACCCCTTCAGTACCAATATGAGAGTAGCGATACCATGAGGGTATGGGGAATGTAGGGGGAGAAAGAGGGAACCAATCGCAATGATCGACATATAGCACTTCCCCCACCACCGCCACCACCACTAAGCTGTAAGAGCCCCTAATAAAATTAGTTATTAAAATTTTAAAAAACAAAAGAGTTAAGGCTACAGGTAGACTTATGGTAAGAGAAAATTATTGCTGTACAGTAATAAAGAGAAAGGACAAGTTAGGAGTACATTTATTATTTACAAACTGTTTCAAAGCCACGGTGTTTTCAATGACCTCATATGCATGTAAAAGTTAGACATTGACTAAGAGCACTGAAGAAGATACTGGTGCATTTGAATTATGTTGCTGGTGAAGAATATTGGAAGTACAATGGACTATCAAAAGGACAAAGAAAAAGGCAGTATACATAATTAATGACATTTTGTTAACTTTTCCTTGGGAAAATTTCCATTTTTACATAGTTCTTTCATAAAATTTTCTTAAACCTCTGCAGAAAATGAAAGGATCATTATATATTTTAGGACCTGTGAGCTTACTTGTAGCAACCTTACTATGTAGTAGATATGAAAATTGAACACTAAATAGATTTAAGGACTAGTCCAACTACTATAGTAGCTAGCCGCATCTAAGGACTTTCATCTACTGACTTGTCTTTAGATTTTCTTTATTCAGCACACTTGGTGGGGAAAAAGTCTTTTGTCACATAAAAAGAAATGGGAGAACTTAAAGTTCATTGTTTACGAAATACATAATCTAAAGGGAAAATTAAGTTTTCATAAAGTTAGCTAACCTTAATAATCGTGAAAGATCTTCTGCTACTTCCAATTTCCCAGTTCTATTCTAAACTCTAAGGAGATAATCATTTCTCTCACTTCTGTTTCTCGGCACCTTTACTGCCTGAAAAGGTAGGAAATGAACTGTCACTTAAATGTTGTAAATGCCCTTTCTTTCCTATGAGAACGTTGGTGTTTTTCTGCTTTTTTAATTAGTTGCATATATTAATTGCATTTGATTTGTCACTTTTTAATAATCTAGCTAGATAAATACTTGACAGTGACTTTAATTCTTTTGCTAACAATATATTTTTCTTTAAAAAAAAAAAAATCATTGTTCTTAGGTGAGGTTAAACTCAGACCTGAAGCTAGGAAACGCCTTCTGAGTTATATCAATGAGGAACCCCAGGATGCTAACGGTTATTTCAATCTGGGCATGCTCGCCATGGATGACAAAAAGGATGCTGAAGCAGAGGTTTGGATGAAGAGAGCCATAAAATTACAAGCAGATTTCAGAAGTGCCTTGTTTAATCTGGCACTCCTCTATTCTCAGACTGCAAAGGAATTAATGGCTTTGCCAATATTGGAAGAGTTACTCAGATACTACCCTGATCATATCAAGGGTCTCATTTTAAAGGGAGATATTTTAATGAATCAAAAGAAGGATATATTTGGAGCAAAAAAATGTTTTGAGAAAATTTTGGAGATGGATCCAGGCAATGTGCAAGGAAAGCACAATCTTTGCGTTGTTTATTTTGAAGAGAAGGACTTATTAAAGGCTGAAAGATGCCTCATTGAAACATTGGCTTTAGCACCTCATGAAGAGTATATTCAACGCCACTTGAATATTGTCAGAGATAAAATTTCCTCAGCTAGTTTTGTAGAACAGCCAGTATTCCCAACTTATGAGACTTCAAGTGTAGGACACAAAATTCCAACTGAAAATGGAAAAGAAGTCAGAAGTGAGCCCAAACCCACCCAGACCATAAAAGCAAATAGTGATAAAAGTCCATCTACACCCAACAGACAATTAGAAAAAAATACAGACAAAGAGACTCCCCACAAAACAACAGAAGAAATCAAAGACATTGAAAAGAAAAGAGTTGCTGCTTTAAAAAGACTAGAAGAGATTGAACGTATTTTAAATGGTGAATAGTATTACTGTTATCATGTTACAGTGGTATCAAAGAACTTCAGTCTATATCATGTGGTTGTACTGGTAGTTTTGACAAATAGCAAGACTATGTAATAATTTATCAGGAGTTGCCTCTACATAGGATTTTCATTTTAAAAAAAGAAATGAAAAGATTTTCATTAAAAGCCCTGTCCTGACCCATGATCTGTATGAGATATAACAATGAGGTTGTGTGTTGTAGTAAATATAATAGGAATACTAAATTAACAGGTGGTAAATTTACATCCTGTGTTAAAGAAGGGAATGCCCTTCTGTCAGAAACTGCTACCAATTGAAAATAATTTGAGATCTAAATTATAATCCCTTGTGAAGAAATTCAACATACACTGGTAAATTCTATATAGTACCCAATAGTTTATTTCATTTTTCCTTTACCATTTGGAATCTGGTTTTATTTACTGAATATTTTTAAAACATTCTTTTTTCTTCAGTAATCCATGTGTTTAGCCTTGAGACTTGCACTACAGAAGAATACTAACTTTCTTTTTGTTGTGTTGTTGATTTTTTTTCTGAAGTAATACTGAATAAAACATTTGAAATAAGTAATATGATTTTAGCCTAAGAATACACTTGTATAAATGTTTACTTGTCTGTAAGTTCATTTGAGATGCAATTTTTAAGCAGGTTAAGGTTTTATACACACACACACACACACACTTCTTATGGTGCTTATATATGTTGTTTATTTTTTAACATATCAGGAGTTCGAAACATGAATTGCATAATCGTGGATTTTTTTTTTTCCTATTCCCCAAACTATTCCTGTTGCTTTGGGCCACAGTCATATTGAAAAGCATTATTTTAAACTTTTGAGTCATAACACAGTAGATTTCTTTATCATTTTAGGGTTATCTAGCTGGTCTTATTTGGAATTTTAACCTTTGTATTTCAAAAAATGACACCTATCTGATGCCCGTTATAACTAAATGAAATTATATTACTGAAGAAAATATGTTAATTCTAAGAACTAAGTTCTGCACTATCCTGCTGTGGTGTATATTATTATTGAATACTTATTTTGACTACTGAGCTTTTACAAAAATTTTAAAGCCATTTTAATCCCTTCAATTATGGAAAATAAAGCCTCGGTGGCAGCACTGTCAGGTGGCCTCAGACTGCTCATCACAAAGAGCAGGTCAAACCCACCTGCCACAGCGTGAGAGAGAGAGGAGGCGATCTGCTTCTCCGAAAATGGACAGCCTCAGACCCCTCTGTAGGGTCACCCCACCTTGAGTCCAAATGGACTCATTGGCACTTAGTCCATTTTATCCTCGTAGAGAATTAGGATCTGTTTCAACTGATTTCGAAAAATATAAACCTGAAAAAAATGCTAGGTTGAAGAGTTATCAGATTTATTCATTCATATATGTTTCATAATATCTAACAAGTTTAGTTCTAATTTACAATGTTAAGAGCTCAAGCTATTCTAGGATGGTAACTACTTCTAATTATGTAGTATTTCACAAACTATTCCTTTGAGCTAACTACTTTCTAATTATGTGTGCTTCAAAAACTATATTCCTGTAATACTTTTAAAGAAATGCTTTATAAATAGGTCACAAGAAAACATGGACTGCATAAAGACATGTTCTGCCTGGGGTCCCCAAAGATCTGTCATAGATTTCTTTTACAGAGTTTAAAGTAAGCACTGACTCCGGTGAGAGTTCATTTTTGATCCAGGAGATTCTCAAAGCAATGCCTACCGTATATACTCGAGGATAAGCTGACCTGAATTATCAGCCGAGGTACCTAATTTTACCACAAGATCTGCATTAAAAATGTGCTGAGAAATTCGGCATATACTCGAGTATATTCAGCTCCTACATTATGGCTTGATTGCAGATATAA